TAATGTTATCTATTATTGGCTGGTAATTCCTGTTTCACCCTATACTTAAGCTTTTTAAAGGAATACCACATTTCTGTAAATAAGCTAACTTCAAGGGGTAATGATAACATCGTTTACACTAGAATTATGATTTTTGTTTATAATTACTACTAGTTATTATTAATACTTATAAAAACGGATACTCCATTTGAAACTATGTTATCTCAGTGAAACTGGCTGACACTACTGTTTTGGATTTTGAGTTATGGAATAAAAAAGAACAAGAAATTCAAATTTTTTTTTGTGTATGATATTTACAGACATTCCCAGAACTTGTGACTCAGTCATTACATAGATATTTTTATAAAAGGAGACACTATATAGTATTGTAAAGTTCTGATGATCTATTGAGGAAATATTTAAAGTACCACTTCATGAACAATTCAGGCCATTCTTACACAGGCAGTGCTACTACTTGCCCGATAATCTATATACAGTCTGTCATCACATAAACTGACATTACTAATCTTAAAATGTATATTTGATTTGATGCTTCTTAGATCCAGTATTGATATTACACTATTACACTTACACAGGCAGTGCTACTGCTTGCCCGATAATCTGTATACAACCTGTCATCACATAAACTGACATTACTAATCTTAAAATGTGTATTTGATTTGATGCTTCTTAGATCCAGTATTGATATTCACAATTTTATAGTTATTATGTTAAAATATTTATAATAGTTAAAACTGTTTTTATCAATATAAAAAAAGTTATGAAACACAAATTTGAGGGAGGTTTATGAGATAGGTTAGATTTATGGTGAATATTTATGGTGTTTGAAATTTGTTTAACATTTCAACATACTAATATATAAAGTAAGAAAACATAACTAATATATTGGTATGAAGTGTGTTGCTAACTTTTCATATAGTTGATTTATTTAATTTGTTCAGGTTGAAGCTAGACAAGCTGGGGAAACAGAATGGCAGTTACAGAAAACAATTCCTGTGGAACATGAAGAAGTTGAAGTTTATATAAACTCGGATCACAATGAATTTAGTGATGTTCGGATCGTTTTATGTCTTCAGAGCAATGAAACGTGGTGTGGAGATGAAAAGTTAGCAGAACCGTATATTGGTGGGTTTTATGGTTCATTTGTGTAGTTCATCTGGTTTGTTAGTAAAGAATTGTTACCCTTATTCAGAAATTATAATCCAAAGTTTTTGATATTAATATTTTATTAACTACTATAATCAGATATGAACAGCTAATGTTATTGGGGTTTTTTTTTCCCTCAAGAACATGCAGTGAATGTAGTGTATGAAGATTAAAGTTGTGTTTGCATTTATTCAACTGAAAAGCATGACTTCATTAAAATATTTTGCCAAAACTGATTTTAACATTATATAAATTTATAAAAACATCTCTTGAGTAAGATGAAAAGAAAGTAATTTCTGAAGCTCTGTGGAAAAATAAATTATGCAAAAGATGTGCAAAGATAAATACTGTACAATGATTTACAGTTTACTTTATATTTCTTCTAGGTGGAATTCCTCAAGCAGTTGGAGCCAAACCCCCACTCTCCACAGCTCACATGATTGTTATTGCAACCGTTGCAGCTGCGGTCTTCTTGTTACTTGTGATTGTTGTCATATGCTGTTGTTGGAAGAGGAAAGGAAAAAAAGGTAATTTTCTGTTCTAAGTATAAAAATACCATTTACTATATAGAGAGACCTGTTTTTATCTTCAGGAAAGTGGAACCAAGAATGGTAAAATGCATCATTATCAACCAATTTCAAAATGATATACAATAGACCCACTTTTTTTTTTCCTTCCAATTACAGGTGTAAGAGCAGCCCATTATTAAATTATACCCAAGTAGTTTTCATTGTGTTATAGTTATGTTTACATTTGCTTAACTCAGAAAATGATCTAAATCCTTTTGTAAAGCAGCATCCACATCATAGGTAGCAAAACCCAATACCTTAACTTTTTCAGCATGGGCTTGGTCCCTGGGACCGACCTTTTAACCATTTTGTGCTTGTTATAGTTTTCATGCTTTCAGTTTTAAATTAGTAAGCGTATCTTTAACAAAATTTGGCAGATTATCAGTAAACATTACAATGCTTTCATACGCAAAATATCAAATATTTTTATTAAGTCTTAAGGTCTTTTTTTCTTTTCATATGTTGATTATCCAACATGCAAAGCAATTTTCATTTTAAGATTAAAAATACTTTCATGCATCAGAAAATTTTCAAATTTCACATGCGAAATCTTTATAATGTACAAATATTTATCAACTGTTTCTTAAGAAAAAACTTTATATTTTATATGTTATTTTCACTATGGAATTTCTGTATGGGTTTGGTCGATTTGACCAATCTTGTAACCACCATAAAAAAAAGGAAATAAATATAAATTATGCCTCTTTCGTTCTAGAATGACAATAAATTATAATGTTGCGTCAGCGAGGTCACGTGACTAGTGTCACG